ATTATCCAATGTTTGTGTCAATGCCTTACATCGCGATTACAACATAATCACCAAAGCGTACAACCAATGAATGAATGGCAACACTCGATGTCTAACACTTAGCCATTAACTCAATCCTAATGAGCTCCCAGTTTACCAGTTGTTTAGCTGTTGGACCAAAGGGAACAACCCTTATATTCAGATTGAGTCTTGTTTAGATAGTATTGCATTAGTTGCTGGACATTATGTCACTTGTGTTTGCACTGCATGAGTTATCCCACTTAACCAACCGCTCAATTACCATATCATACATAGCCTACAATATCATACATAGCCTACACTCTCATAGTTACCACTCCTAATGTTACAACACTTCTCCACTTCTAATCCATTTCTTATATTTATGTGCTTTTCATGATTTCATGTCATAAATATTTTTATTGCTATAAATTATCCAATGTTTGTGTCAATGCCTTACATCGCGATTACAACATAATCACCAAAGCGTACAACCAATGAATGAATGGCAACACTCGATGTCTAACACTTAGCCATTAACTCAATCCTAATGAGCTCGCAGTTTACCAGTTGTTTAGCTGTTGGACCAAAGGGAACAACCCTTACATTCAGATAGTATTGCATTAGTTGCTGGACATTATGTCACTTGTGTTTGCACTGCATGAGTTATCCCACTTAACCAACCGCTCAATTACCTATAGTATGTATCGGATGTGAGAGTATCAATGGTGAGGATTACAATGTTGTGAAGAGGTGAAGATTAGGTAAAGAATATAAATACACGAAAAGTACTAAAGTACAGTATTTATAAAAATAACGATATTAACTCGTATGCAATTAAATCGTCATATGTTTTACGTGTTATCAATAAATATCTGTTCATATTCACTGAATGTTAGTTTGATTTTCATTTCGACTAATGTCTCAAAGAAGTGGTGTTAAGGTATTGATGTGAATGATTGGTGTTTCCCTGAACTGTGTAGTACTGGTTGTTCACCAGACCTTTAATGACCTCTCGTTTTATATGAACTTATTTCCCCTTTAATGCCACAAATTTGTTGTAAAATAATATTTTTTAATTAAATATTTCAGTCGCTATTCAAAGGCGTGAGAAGCAGTAAATTCCGGCACGTCTTCGGAAGTTTGGCCAAAAAGGACAGAATTTATGATAACTTGAAAATCACCAAAAATGCCAACGACTCCAACTTCTGTGCCGTCAATCCTAAGGTTTGTACACATTTGACTATACAGTGTATTAATACACCATTCCTATAATATTTTTGTGGTTTAAATGCTAATCACTATAATTGATAAGACAATGAAGTGTTTGCATTGATGGCACCAAATGCTAATAAATGCCATTTGTTTGCAGTTTATTGCCGTTTGCACCGAAAGTTCTGGCGGAGGAAGTTTCATTGTATTGCCTCAGAGTCAAGTGAGTCCACACGAGTTAATAATCACTTCTGTGTCTTATGTCATATGTCTTCACATTTATTTAATGCAAAGAAATCCTGTTTCTTAAAATATAACATCTTTTTTGAGAGATGCGAGAGAGAGAGAGAGAGAGAGAGAGAGAGAGAGAGAGAGAGATAAATGTTATACAGTATTGATATAAATAAGATCTCATTCTTATTGGCATTGAATTTGAGCCAAGCTTTCAATTAAGTCTTAAGCATATCATAGGACACAAATGACATGAAATGAGAGAAAATGTGAATTACCTAATATGCAAATCAAATGATCCTATGTTTTGTATATAGTATGGGCGCATAGAAGTGAACGCGGGTCGGGTGGTGGGGCACAGGGGGCCTATTCTGGACCTCAAGTGGAACCCATTCAATGACAATGTGATCGCCTCGTGTTCAGACGACTGTACGGTTAAGGTATGAACTGAATAAGACATGAATCAGTTAACACACATATCTATACTATTATTCCGTATATTCCTTAGATATGGTATATTCCGGACGAAGGCCTACAGCAGAGGAATCTAAACGAACCGATAATGGATTTAATAGAACACCAGAGAAGAGTGAGTTTCATTGAATGGCATCCGACGGCTGATAATATTCTGCTGTCCACTGGTTTCGACTATTTGGTGATCATCTGGAATGTGAGCAAAGGAGCTCCAGTCCGAGTGATAGACTGTCACCCGGATGTGATACACTCGATGTCATTCAATCGTGACGGCAGTCTATTGGCCACCACTTGTAAAGACAAAATACTTCGAATAATAGACCCGAGGAGTGGAGAAGTAGTCAACTCTGGTGTCTGTCATCGCGGCTCCAAAGCCTCGAGAGTTGTATTTTTAGGCGAAACTGGAAAACTGTTTACTACAGGCTTTTCGCGCTATAGTGACCGCCAGTGGGCCGTCTGGTCTGAACACGACTTATCAGAACCGCTTACTATAGAGAACATAGACTCTTCTTCTGGAGTTTTATTCCCATTCTATGATAACGACACGCGAATGGTTTACATCGCCGGTAAAGGCGACGGAAATATCAGATATTATGAGTTGACAGATGAACCGCCGTTTTGTCATTATATCAGTCAGTTTCTGACAGGTTTTCCTCAAAGAGGTTTAGGAGTAATGCCTAAAAGAGGTTTAGATGTCTACAGGTGTGAAGTGTTTCGTTTCTATAAATTACACGCAACCCGTCCTGTCTGTGAACCCATTTCAATGATTGTGCCGCGAAAGTCACAACAGTTCCAGTCAGACATATTCCCAGACACTCCGGCGCCCACTCCAGCTCTCAGTGCCGACGAATGGTTGTCCGGAAAGAATCGAAACCCTATTCTCATAAATCTGAAGGTAAATACAAATCATGTGAAATAAGTTTATAATCGTTTGACTATTAACTATAAAATTGATTAACATTAAATGTAATGATAATCTCTTAAGACTGGGTCGGGCGCCAAAACAAATAAACCGGTGTTCCTGAAGACTGAGAAGAATATTTTGCAGACATCTGATGCTAATAATGAACGCAAATTTGCTTTTATATCACAAGAAAATAAAGTGGATTACAGACAGAAGAATGGATATAACGGGGATTCCAATGGATTTCACAACAATTGTCACGACAACCCAATAGACAAGTCTCCGGAATCTCCTCCCAGGAAGAAGTTTCCCTGGATTAAGGACAGGGAGCCTAAGAAAGCTGCCACTATGAATGTGTGTGATATCGTTACTGTCCAACACCTGCCGACCGCTACTTTTGTTACTCTGGAGGACGACGTGCCGGAAGTGAACTGCACGCCATCGCCGCCACTATCCGATGATATAAATACTTTAAATAATAGTATAAATATTAATATAAATAACAACAATAACTTAAATAACAACCAAATGAATGGTATTAGTAATGGTATTAAACACGAGACGCAAAGTTTCCTCGACACGAGTCCTCCGCCCAAAAACGAAAGAGAGGTTTGTATTTATTATCCAAATCTAATGGATATATCATTAATGAGTTGTCATTTGTATAGTTGTGGTCAGCGTTTCACTCGCAGTGCGCGACAATCCATTCACTGGAACAGCAAATCGCAGACAAAGACAAACGTATTAAAGATTTGGAGGAATTATTGTCACGAATGGGTTGTGACGGACAGCATATCTATTAAACTTATTGAAGGCTTTTATAACAAACGAATAGCTATTTTCTATGTCAACATAGAGTCTATTTAGTGATAGTTTCTTAACGCAATTCATTAGTTATACGTATTATAAATACAATTACTTACTCACGAAATCATTGCTTATGTTTCAGATTATGACTAAAACTATACATTAGTTATGCATTTAATTATTACATTTAAACTAAATTCTATTCAATTTGATTAACGAATCAGTCTTTAGTGCAATTCGTTTCATAAGATTCTATCCGTGTTTTAGATCTTTATATAAATATAAAAAAGTTTAGATTAATATAAGAAACTTGTTTTTCATTTAATTCAATTAACGTTAACTCGAAGAATTTTTGTCTAACTTTTATACCGTTTTATTCTATTTTTAAACCGTTATTAATTTACTCAATAATAAATATTGATAAATAATCTTTTACTTTTATAAAATTTCGAATACTCGGTTTCTTATTTAGTGAACAAAAGGTTTTGTAAAAACAAAATAAACAGATTTATTAGTTAAAATATGTGGCAGTCAGTGCTGTAACTTATCATAAGAGCATACATTTCACCATAATTTGTTTTGAATGCATTTAAAGTTTAAAAGTCTACTTATTAGACATCAATTAGATAATAGGTATGAAGAAATTACAATAAAACTACAAGTGCTTATCTAACAACTATTATTATAACAATCATTTCCCATACACTTTGGACTTATGATATGGTTTTGATAAAATAATGTTTTATTGGCAACAATAAAGTTTATTGAATAAACAATTTCAATTTTCACAAATACAGTATAATGTTAATTTTATTAACAAATTTTTAAAGTTTCAACTATTTAACAAAATTTATACAATTTTATTTGAGTTTATATTTCTTTCTAATATAAATACTAATGTAATGATTGGTTAAAAAGTCGACAAATAGTATCAAAATTGATGCCAAAAAAATATATTCAAATACAAGAATTAAATGGTAATTCTTTTCATTCACTAAAACATTAAATAATTTACTTTCAATGAGTAAAAAAGCAAAACATCTAAACATTTCAAAATATTTGGACCATTTCTTGCAATCCATTATAAAACCAAATGAAGTCAATGAGAGCTCATTAGGATTGAGTTAATGGCTAAGTGTTAGACATCGAGTGTTGCCATTCATTCATTGGTTGTACGCTTTGGTGATTATGTTGTAATCGCGATGTAAGGCATTGACACAAACATTGGATAATACAGAGACTGGTGTGAAGTGCACTGTATTATAGACCACATTCACTGTCTGTCATTCACTTACCTTTTCAGAGCTATTATTGTGAGTATTATTATTCAATGCGTTTGGATCTAGCATTTGGTTGGAAAGTTTTCTCACTTATAACTAAAATAGTTAACAAATTGCCCCAAAATAGCAAATAATATTGCAATTTCTCTCACAATTATCTAACAAAACACATTAAATGAAATAATTTACACAAACAATTGATTAAAATAATCATTAGATTAGTAATAACGACAAACTAAGCGAAAAGTAAATAACTTTCTCGTTATCTTTGGGTAAAGGTATGACTTGTTTGGTTGACTCCTGGATTGAACCAAAGACTAGTCACAGAACAGTTGGTACTGAGGGATGAGATGAGCAGTGGTAAGAGGAAAGGGAGGAAAGGCTACGCCCAGAATATATGCTGCAGAATATACTGCTCTCTCTATCATACAAGAGGACTGTTGTGTGCTGTGAATGTTTGGCAAATGTTTTGCATATTGTGTTCAACACATCAAACACATGACTCTTATGATTGGAAAGCACTGGAGAACCTGAAGACTTGGATGAGTTATAATAAGACCAAAGATTATAAATAAATAGAAATGCTTTGGAATCGATGTACTGGTTGTGAGTGTTGTTATGACTCAGTCTTTGCCAAAGCATCGCAAGCGCTGACATCGATGTCCTTAAAGAGTAACACAACAACAAAGTCAATAAACTCTGGTTTTGTTTAGAGTTTAGCGTATAATTGAAAGCATAAAAGTAGAAGTTTTGCATTAATTAACATTTCAATAGTAATATATTTGTTCTAATTTTGTCTTTAATAACAAATACTAAATGATAGAGCAATGAGTGCTCGAAATAATGCTTTAAATATAAGTTCAGCACATCTTAAGGCCAATACATTACAACTTATCATTAGTTATACGTTCAGTACGTTTCAATAAATCTAATCATTGGCCATAAAATCATAATGAATGTGAAAATTAATTTAAATCATTAATAATTAATAAAAATAAAAACAGTTTTCTGATACAACAGATGATCATTAGTTAACAAAACATCAAATATAATGAATGAAATATGAGCTGAAGATCAGATTTGTTTGTTTTGTTTGGAAAAACTTTAAAAGTATTCAATAAGTGTGTTTGAGAAGTAATCGTAAGTTTGATGAAAGTGTAGTCAAATGTCGTCAAAAGCGATGGAAATAATGACACCTTTTCTTCAAATTAATGCTAATATGAAACAAAAGCAAATTCATGTCTATTCAGCCCCGGGATCGCCATCGTCTGGCAGTTTCCGCTTCTGACCCCTCGCTGTCGACTCTTCATCTTCTTCCTCGTCGTCCAGTTCTTCCTCTTCCTCGTCGTCAACGCCGTCGGGATTGAAGTCTTCGCCTTCGCTCTCCTCCTGTCAGACATACATCACATCCATTAGTAAAGAGTATAATAGTAAACACGAAATGCCGCCAAAGCTCACATCAATGTCATCGTTTGCCAAGTATTTGAGTCCAACCTCTCCCTCGACCTCATCGTCGTCCTCGTCATCATTCTCTCCGTCTTCGTCGTCGTCTTCCTCATCATCGATGTTCACGTCGTCGTCATCATCTGATTCATTCAATTCATTAGTCATAACACAACTCATTGAGAGTGACGCCAACCATACCTTCACTATCGCCGCCGATATCATTGCCGTCCTCGTCGTCATTGAGGTCTTCCTCGTCTTCCGCTTCCGAGTCCTCCGCCTCTTTGTCTTCTCTGTCAAAGCCATCCAAATACTTAAGACAAGAGATGAGACCAAACACTTTCTCTCTATAGTTCTCGACAGAAGTCACGTCACAATTGAATAAATCCAAACTCTTTAGATTTTTGAACTCTTCCTAAAGTGTTCATCAAAAGCACAAAATAGTGATTAAAGCCTTCAAAAGAGCGACTCAAATGCAATTACCAATGGTTTGAGTGTTTCGATGTCTTTGATTTTATTCCCACTCAGATTCAGATGCGTTAGTTTAGGACTTCCGCTCAAGAGGTTCAGTCCTCCAGATATCCTATTGTCACTCAACTCTAGTTTCTTGAGGTTTGGCAGTTTGGGAAAGCCTTTTAAACTGGTCAGGCCTACGTTTATTAGACTCAAGTTCTCTAATATGGAGTAGTCTTCGGTGAGACCAACGATGTTAGTGCTCCGGCAGTTGTCGAGATTCAGGTCTTTGATCTGCAATGAGTCCACAGTAGAGGTAAATATGCAATCATTTTCTAAACTATGCTAAAAGTGGTCCAAATATTGGACGCAAGCTTTTGGCACCGATTGCCGCAAATAACGCCAACTTATAAGCCATTCATTCAATTGTCTCCAAAGTCTTCACACAAACCATTCAAATGCTAACAACGGATACGAGAGAGCAGTCTATCGGCAGAATTGGCACCAATTCTGGCGTTTGTATGGAAAAAGTTTATGAGCGCTGAGGGAGTGTTGGGAAGTGAGGGAACGGTAGGCTTGCCTGTGAGGGAACGGTAGGCTTGACTGTGACGTCAAGAACTTTGCCATTCAGACCGTTGTTACTAACGATCGCTTACTTTTCAACTAATCTTTCATTTATTAACTATAATTGCATTTATTGTCCACTTTTTGGTCACAACTGGCGCTAAAAACACAAGTCTATAGGCTATGCATGCAATGAATGGCTATGTATTTGATGACAGAGTGTTTGAGAGCATTGAATGGATATCATGTGAAATGGTATGCATTTGTTGGACACATATATAGCGCGCAAACACATGAGACTGAGTTGAGTCGCACTTTAGCACTGATATAGTGAGCACTGGAAGGCCTGTTAGCCCACAGACAGCCAACGCGAGCATTGAAAGCCAACTCCCAGTCGGCCGTAATGTACGACAAATCACACCAACACTAGACATGCAGTGGTCGCCCACTTCCAGGTGGTCACCACCACTGCCAACACCGACATCACGAGTATAATGCCGGCAATGGCCACCACCTCCTCCGCCACTGCCTTTCCCTCCAAAAGTCATGTCAACACATCCAACACATGCCAATCATTGCAAACAGTTATCATGTGTTTGGTATGTCTTTGCTTCCACTCTCAGACGTTGTCATTAAGATGTGGACACGGAATAAGACAATTAATGGTAAGGTTTGGTGACAATTGTGGCAATAAATGGCAAACAGTGTTGACAACTGAATGGATGGTTTAGTTAGTGATCACGTGTTGGCAATGGTTTGCAGCGAATGTATTGAATGAATGCATAATAACTGCAATAGTATTGCGTTTTCAATATAACGCCAAATGATTGTCAACACAAATACATGGCATCAGACAGACAGACAGGCATAGGGATAGGGGTGGAAAGGGATGCTGTGCTCACCTGATTGGCATTCCTGCCCCTCTTCTCCAACTCAATCCTCTTCTCCATGTGTGGATCACTTGGATGTGATGTTGGGGTCAACTCTTCAACTCTCAATGAAGTTAAGAAACAAAACCAAAACAATTGCAAACGTTTAGCAGTTTAGCAATGCTTTCAATGCTTGCGATGCTCTCAATGCCGGCACAGCTATACAGCATAGACACAGACAGGCCTAACGTATGCCTTACAATGCCTTTCAATGCATTCACATTCACTCCACACATACACTACACTGTCTAACAGTGAGAGTTAGAGCGCGCCATTGAATACAACAACAACACCACTGCCAACACCTGCCAACCAATCACACCGCACGCCTACATACGTCACACACCATACACACGCCCTTCCCTCCACACACACACACCGGGGTCACCATCTAATAGATCCTAATGTACGGTACAGTACAGTATCATCGCAATGGTACTATCACTGCACCCACCAATACATACGGCACTGTATGTGCCACCGATCACTGCAACTGCAAACACTTGACCACAACTCAGTAAAGCATTGTCGCAGTAAAGTATAGTTTACAGTATAGTTGGCATAGTTAGAGAGTGGCAGCGCTGGATCTACTGGCACTACAGTATCAATAAATACAATACAGTATTCATAAACTTATGAAATGCTGATATTTATTCATTTATTGCCATCAATGAGTGCATGTCTTATCAAACACTATTGATATATGAATGGCATTATTGGTAAAACAAGTGAATTATTTATTTAATAAAATTGTTTTACTGTAAATCATTGATAAGAGGAATGTCACAAACGCCATTGAATACAACAACAACACCACTGCCAACACCTGCCAACCAATCACACCGCACGCCTACATACGTCACACACCATACACACGCCCTTCCCTCCACACACACACACCGGGGTCACCATCTAATGGATCCTAATGTACGGTACAGTCTGTATCATCGCAATGGTACTATCACTGCACCCACCAATACATACGGCACTGTATGTGCCACCGATCACAGCAACTGCAAACACTTGACCACAACTCAGTAAAGCATTGTCGCAGTAAAGTATAGTTTACAATATAGTTGGCATAGTTAGAGAGTGGCATCACTGGATCTACTGGCACTACAGTATCAATAAATACAATACAGTATTCATAAACTTATGAAATGCTGATATTTATTCATTTGATGCCATCAATGAGTGCATGTCTTATCAAACACTATTGATATATGAATGGCATTATTGGTAAAACAAGTGAATTATTTATTTAATAAAATTGTTTTACTGTAAATCATTGATAAGAGGAATGTCACAAACATTTGTTTTATAATTAAGTTTATTGACAGACAATATAGTAGACATTTCTGTATAAACAATTAAATAAAATATTATTTAAAGTAATTGATTAAGAATTAGTTGTAATACTGAACATTTCATTAGTAAAATCTTAAAAGAAAATTGTGCTTAAAATAGTGATCAGTCTGTCATTAGTTTGCAATTACCGTAATTAACAGTAAAAATATTCATAAAATGTATACATATTTACAGAATAACTTAGTCTTATATAAAAACTATGGGATAACTAGTGATGAAGTGATGGTCACTAGAGATCTCTTTTAAGAGATTCTAAGATGTGAGCGAATTCTTCTTTGATTCTCTCGATCTCGTGTTTATGTCTTCGCACGAGTTGATGATAATGTAGTTTATATTTATGGAGTTTCTCTGTCATGACAAGCGCCTCTTCGCTCACTTTCTGCAATTCGTTTCGCAGTTCTCGCAAAATATGATCATTTGATGAACTCTTGGCCGGACTGTTGAGTCGGGACTCGTTGAGCGCCTCTTCTAACTGCAGTTTCGCGTCATTCAGTTTGTGTGTCTGTAATCTGAGCGCCTGTTCCCTGGTATCGCACGACTCTTCCAAAGCGCGCCACAGATTCAGAAGTGACACAAACCTGAGGCCAACATTCTCTGGCAAACTATCGACACTAAGTTTAGTCTTAACTCTCAAACACTTAATAACATCAAGAATTTCAATCTGTAATTCTTGTTCCCATCGGTTCCTCTCGTCCATCAGTTTCTGTTTCGCACTTTTAGTCCAATTCCTTTCGTGTAAATCAAGAATCTCTTTGATATCCTTCTCAACCCTTCCCTTCATCTCCTGTTCCCACAAATCTTTAGTCGATTTAATCATGTCTTTGAACTGTTGATTGAGAAGAGTCTCATTATTTTGACACTTAATTGACTCCATTTCACTGTTCATTGCATTCATTTCAGTCTCTTTGCAACTCAACTCAGCTTTCAATCTCTCGATTTCAGTCTTAAGTAAAATCAATTCATTTTCATGTTTTGCTTTCAAACTATTGACGACCGAATCGTGTATTTCTTGTCTCCTCACCAGACAATCGCTTCTCTCGATTTCCATGAGTTGGTACTGAAGTGACTCAATAGTCGACTCGCAAACAGACACTTTTCGCTGGAACTCCTCTTTAGTTTCTCTCTCGACATTGATATTCACTTCGAGAGACTGAATCCTTGCCTCCAGTCTCACCAATTGGTTCTCCTTCTCGGCATTCACTTGAGTTAACTCTTTGAGTCTATACTGGAGTCCCTCGTAATTGCCATCAATGGTCGATAACTTCTGCTGAGACACCAGTAATTCATTGCTTAGTCTTTGATTCTCTTCAATCAATAACTGGACGTGTTTTTGACTAAAAGATCTCTCATTGGTTCCAAACAATTGCTCAGTTCTTGCGTTCTCTACACTACTTTTGCTGTCAAACTGACCATTCATTTGGTTGTTCACGTCTTCCACACAAAACTCATTGTCGTTGACCTCGAGGTCTCCATTCACTCCTTTGTGCAGCTCTTCCTCTTCGTCCTCAAGAATATCACTGACATTGAGATGATTTTTGGGCACTTTTGGCCACAAATTGTTTTTTGATTTGGGATACAATTGGTGGTAAACCCGAGGCGTTGAGGTCAAGCCATTCACATACATGTGGTTCCAATCGTTTCCATTGCCATTGGTTTGTGTGTTTCGACACTCATTGTCACCATTAATACCATTAATGCTAAACTTCTTGAACTCATTGCTATATTCCTCCTCGTCTTCACTCAATGAACTTAAATCATCGAAAGCTGTTGACAACAACCCCTGGATCTGATTCAGTGATAAATGGTGAGTTATTTACCAATCAATGGATGTATGCCTTGAACGCTCACCTCTTTGTGTCGGTCATCGATATCGTCGTCATCTTCGGGATTGTGATCCAAATCCAGATTCAAAGAAACGTTTTCCATTGCAACCAATCATTCAATTGATGATTGAAAACACATATCTCATCAACAAATGTGAATAAATTGCATTCAAAACACAACACAAATGCCAATCAAAACCAAAAGCAAATGTGAGCCACTTTTGGCGCTAAATTCCATTCAAAGGGGTTTTCACTTAATCTTCAATTCATTTTCAATCAAAATACTTATTATTCATTTCATATTTATTTAGTGTATATGTAATTATTTTTCAATTGTAACATTCATTGTGTTTAATTGATTTAAATACGATTACATGTATTTAAATTGCAATTAATATGTAAATAAATGTAAATATAATTATAATGATGTGTCGATCCCTTTGATACCGATTTAAAGGCAATTGATGAAAATATTTTCAATACGTTTCAATGCCATCACTGTTTGAGTTTTGAGTGATTTATTTAAATTAGTTTTATTTCAATATACAAATAATGAACACATAATTATAAAAGCGTTTAAATGTATGAAACAATGAAGTAATTGTCAGCTAAAGTGCATTGAATAGCGTTATTATAGACTATATGAAAACAAACCCCTTTGCAGTGAATGAGTTGTCAGTTTCACAGCAATACATGCTTTGCATTGCATTTCGTAAACATTTCTAAATTGTTTGCAAATTATTTGTCATTTAATTGTGTTTTCATTGACAATATTTGTATCCATTATTATAACGTTTGCACACTTTTATAGTTTACACCAACGGTTTATATATTTATGTAAGTATTGGCTCACAAATAACTGTATGGTTTGATTGTCTAATTGTGCTTTAATTGCAAACTTGTTATAAAATTATTATTAAATAAACTCTCCGTTAGTGAAAATGTCACAAATGGTTGGCCCGAAGAAGTCACGGTTTGGCGAACAGCCGACACTTGCCATGGATGTCAACAATGGCTTCAATAACACGTCGGCCGAAGACAACACATCAGTGAACAGTGAATTAAATGCATCACAAGTATCGCAAATGATGGCAGACGTCCGCAAACAGATTGAGGAGAGGAAGCGACAGATGAATGTATGAATTGAGACACTCTTTGCTGTCATCTAATACTCATTTGCTACCATCAGATCGGATCCGGAGTACAAACACCACAAGCAGTCACTCCAATGCCTCCCCCGCCTGTAGTGCCCGCACAGAGAATGTCATCCGAATTGGACCACAAGACAAGAATAGCTCAATTGACGGCCCAAATCCAGGCCCGACTCGCGCACCGGCCAAACATTACAGTGGCCGCCGGTGCCGCTCAAGAGTATGATTTCAATGATATACCGGTGCTCTTCAGTTCTAATGATTCATATATTGATAGCAATGATAACAGCTCTGGCGATAAGGCTGGAAAACCTACACCTCTTATACTGAACTCCGAGGGACGGACTGTAGACATGAGTGGCAAAGAAGTCCAACTCATCACTCGTATGCCTACACTTAAAGCTAATATTAGGGCTCAAAAGAAGGAGCAGTTTATCAAATTAAATCAAGACAAGCAAACCGACGACTCGAGTGAACACCAATTCTTTGACTCCAGAATGGGTCTCAAGTCTGCGATGAGACCCAAGAAAGGCTTTAAATTCTACGAAAAGGGAACCTTTGAAAACTTGGCTCAAAAACTCAGGACAAAAGTATTGTTTAATTATTATTATAACTCTTTTTAATGTTTGTTTTGTACATTTTAGGCACAATTAGAGAAATTACAGAAAGAGATCGCTTCGGCGGCTAAGAAGACAGGTATCAGTTCTGCCGCACGTCTCGCACTCTTGAGTTCAATTGTGCCGAAGAAACAACTGGTAAGTCGGCCTCTTGACGGTTCACTTCTCTATGAATGTTAGCCTATTTTTATGATTAATACTAGAGTTTGGAGTTTTTGATCGCAACGAATGTCACTTTGTTTTACACAGAGAGAGGACGAGATTCCAGACATAGAGTGGTGGGACAGCTTTGTCCTCAAAGACAACAGGTTTACTGTCACTTACTTTTGTTTCATTTAATTTATTTATAAATTTTATAACTATTTGTTTGACAGTTATGTGAGTTGTATTGCGAACGAGTCGAATGCCAATGAAAAATATGATGGAATCACACATTTGGTCGAACATCCCATTCAGATGAAACCTCCGGGTATGTCATGACTCGGAGGTCATGTCATGACATGTCATGACTTGATTCGCTATTCATTTGTTGATTTATGATTTTAATTTGAATTGTTTTCAACCCAAAGCCGAGCCGACAAAACCGGTGTTATTACCGGTATTTTTGACTCAAAAAGAGCGCAAGAAGTTGAGGCGACAGAACCGACGCGAGGCCTGGAAGGACAAGCAGGAGAAGATCCGCATCGGTTTAGAGCCGCCGCCCGAACCCAAAGTCAAGATGTCTAATATGATGCGAGTGTTGGGACAGCAGGCCGTTCAGGACCCGACCAAAGTGGAGGCGCACGTCAGGGAACAGATCATCAAACGCCAGAAAGCGCACGAAGAGGCCAACGCTTCCCGAAAGCTAACCGGAGATCAGAAGAAGCAGAAGAAGGTTAAGAAAATAAAAGAAGACACGAGTCTTGGCGTCTGTGTGTCTGTCTATAGAGTACTTAATCTGACTAATCAGTCGAAGAAATTCAAAGTGGAAGCAAATATTAAACAATTACTGATGACTGGAGTTATAGTCCTCTACCGAAACATTAATGTGATTGTCGTTGAGGGCGGACCTAAACAGCAGAAGAAGTTCAAGCATTTAATGTTAGAAAGGATTAAATGGGGTGAAGAACAGGCCTCTAAAGACGGAAGTAATGCTTTCATTATGATTACCCATATATTGTTATCATTATCTAATGTCTTGGATTTGATTTACAGCTGAATCGGGAGAAAAGATTGAGAACAAGTGTTTCCTCGTATGGGAGGGAACGGCAAAGAGTCGAGTGTTTGGAGACGTGAAGTTCAAGTTGAGTCCAAACGAGAGCTTCGCGAGAGAACTGTTCAAAAACCATTCGGTTGAGCACTACTGGGATTTGGCGTACAGTATGTCTATATTAGACGCCAACGACATATAACAACCATTACTAACCGTACATAACATTTGATTTTCATATTTACTCAATAAATATTTAATTATACTATTTGTATATTCCATTTATTCATTATCCTGTTCATCACACAGATTAAATATTGTAATTCATACGATATTTTGACGGTAAATTCATAATTATATTAATCAATTATTGTAAAAAGATAGAAAAAAGTAAAAAATAAAAGCTAGCACATGCAAAAGGTTGCGCCCAACGTGGGGCTCGAACCCACGACCCTGAGATTAAGAGTCTCATGCTCTACCGACTGAGCTAGCCGGGCTGCTTATGTATTTGAACCTTATAACTATATATCAAATTGACTCACAGTTACAATTATGTAATACATTTCTATTATTTTCAGTTTGTTTTAAAGTTTTCTTATTCATATTTTATATCAAATTTGTCTCACAATTTAAACTTCATTTTTAGACTATTTTAAAGATAACTTTATTTATGACTTTTCAATCATTTATTGCCACAAATATAATACATTACATTATTCTATGCAAGCGTTAGACCGGTATGTGACGGGCATTCTTGCGAGCGATGCCGTGAACCATAGATAAAGTGGACAGAAGTGAGTTCCCGGGGCCGCACTCGAAGGTTTTGGGACACTTGGTATCCTTAGGTCTTTCATATATGGTGTGCAGTATTTGTTCCCAACGAACGGCTGATACTATTTGTTTGGCTAACTTCTTGCGAATAGAGTCGACGTCGTTGTAGACCCGGGCGTCCACATTGGAGTGGACAGGGATAAGGGGCACCTCTAGTTTGATCTGTTTGAGCGCTTCCCTCATCACTTCACGTGCCGGTGCCATCAGACTAGTGTGAAAGGCACCGGAAACCGGTAATCGTTTAGTCCTTTTGATACCAAAATCTTTGGCATTCATTTGCAGGAAACTGATGGCCTCTTCGTGACCAGCGATCACTTTGCAGTGCGGGAACAGATAGTTAGCCACCGAACAGACGGCATACTCGGGCTCTATCTCTTTGCGAAGACACCACTCTTTGGCTGCATTACAGGCAAAGTTAATGCGCGCGTCGGCGTTGAAGAAGACGGTCATCATAGCCGAGGGCACGAGTTCTGTGGCGTATTGCATGGCTTCCGCCCTAATCTTCACTAACCGGAGTCCGTCCTCGAAAGAGAGGGCGCCCGCGAACACCAGAGCCGCCAATTCGCCGACACTAAAGCCGGCGGTCGCCACACATGACTCGACATCACCCGAACCGGTCTCTCGGAGGCGCTCCACCGCTGCCAAAGAGGTGACATAAATGGCGGGCTGACTGTATTGAGTCCTATTTAACTGCTCAATGGGTCCGTTCAGACACACGTCCAGCAAATCGTAACCCAATATCTGTTTGGCAATTGTGAACATGTGTTGGACATGCGGTGAGTCGATCACCTTATAGCCCATCCCCACGAACTGACTTCCCTGACCCGGGAATAACACGACTGTCGTGTCCTCCGGAGCCGTCTTCGGCCGCACAGAATGTCTCGTCTGATCTCTTGTGGCAGTCGCTTGCTTTACCTGCCATTGAGTGACATCTTCAGTGTTGGAACCAATGGCTTGCACTTCATTGGAGGCCTCACTCAACAGTTGAGACAAACTCTTGTCTTTCAGCACTTTATGAATTGATTCAAAAGTCGATTCAATCGGTTCCGCACTTTCACTCCTCTTCGCGTCAATCGCATCCTCTTTGGTCTTGTCTTCGGTCGACAATAGTCTGTGATTTGCCAACAAAGCGATCGATCGATACTTCCGGTGAAGACAACAAGTTTTGTAAATATTTTTCAACATTTCATTCAAAAGCAATTAAAT